ATGTGTTTACTTCTTTCATGATAAACCAGGTTCTTTGCCAATGCAATCGCTGATCGATTATCTATATAAATCTGAGTTGGCAACAACTTCAACAAATTCCTTAACCATATTAAATGGTATACAGCTGAGTTGGCAATAACATACTCAGCTCCACAGCTTGATAACGTGACAATCAATTGCTTCTTGGATGACCATGTGAAAGATATATCTCCCATGAAAAATACAAACCCTGTTGTACTTTTTCTTTCATCCAGATCTCTACCCCAATCACTATCCAAGTAGCTAGTAAGATTGAAATTTGTACTGGAGATATAAAACATACCTTCATTTTTTGTGCCTTTGATATAGCGAAGAATTCTTTTGGCTGCATTCAATTGAGACTGGTCTAGCTTCTCCATATATCTGTTGATCAGTCATACTCCATAGAGTATATCCGGTCTGGTACATGTCAAGTACCTTAAGCTTCCTACTAAGCTCTTGAAGTAAGTTGGATCAACATTTCCAACTTTACTCTTCTTCAATTCCACTCCATTCTCAACTGGAGTTGATACTGGATTACAGCTTTCCATATTGAACCTTTCAAGAATATCTTTGGCATAACCCCTTTGGGATACAAAAACCCCTTCTTCTTTCTGCACCACTTCTAAGCCAATAAAATGTGTCATTAGACCATTGTCTGTCATTTCAAACTCTTGTACCATGCTTTTCTTAAAGTCTTCGAACATGGTAGGATTGTTGCCGGTGAAAATCAAGTCATCAACATATAAGCACACAAATAATATGTTGCCATCTGCTTCTTTCTTCACATAAATTGCGTGTTCATATGGACATTTTTCAAATCCATTAACTTGAAAATACCTGTCAGTTCTGGTATTCCAAACACGCAAAGCTTGCTCCAAACCGTAAAGGGCTTTCTTCAACTTGTATACTTTGCCTTCATTTTCAGCATCAATGTATCCAAGTGGTTGTTCAACATAGATCTCTTCTTCTAGGAAGCCATTCAGAAATGCTGACTTCACATCAAGTTGATAGATCTTCCATCTATGTTGTGCTGTTAGTGAGATCATTAGTCTGATTGTCTCTAGCTGGGCTACTAGAGCAAACACTTCTCTATAGTCAATGCTTTCTCTCTGTTTATAGTCTTTTGCCACTAATCTTGCTTTGTATCTTTGCACTTCTCCTTTTGCATTCTTCTTTGTCTTATAAACCCATTTGACACCTATTACTTTCTTGTTTCTGGTAGATAAGTCAGCTTCCAAGTATCATTCTTCTCAATGGCATGTATTTCTTCATCCATTGCTTCTATCCACTTCTTTTCTGTGATAGCTTCATTGAAGCTAAGGGGGTCACTATCTGCAAAGAAAAAAAATAAAGTTGTATCTTCCATTACATGAGTGGCGTCATACAGCTCTTCTAGATTTCTCATCCTTTTTGGTCCTTCTGATGAGGTGCTGATGATGGTTCTAGTGATGATGCTGGTGTGTTTCTCCTGTTGAATACAGGAAATCTATGTACCAGAGTTTGTGGCTCATCTTCTGGTACTATCGGACCTTCTACAAGTACTATTGGTACTTCTTCATCTTCAAGGATCAAATCAGTGCTGATCCATTTAACTGCTTCTTGGTCATCATTCCATTGCCAGGTTTTATCTTCTTTAAAAATAACATCTCTACTCATAATTACTACCTTTTTTGTGATGAGATTATACAACTTGTATCTCATCCTTCTCTCATCGTATCTGACAAAAATACATTTCTTGTTTTTATCATCAGGTTTGGTTCTTCTTGCATCTTGGATCTTTGCATATACCACACAACTAAAGACTCGAAGATGAGTAACACTTGGTTTGTAACCACTCCATACTTCATGTGGAGTGACAGCTTGCAAACTTTTGGCTGGGCAGCGATTCAACAAATACATTGCAGATGATACAGCTTCAGCCCAATATTGTTTGGGTAGCTTCTTAACTTTGAGTTGACTTCTTGCCATGTCAAGAATCATTTGATTCTTCCTCTCAGCTACACCATTCAACTGTGGTGTATAGGCTAGTGTTGTATGATGTCTGATGCCTTATTGTGTACAAAAGGTTTCAAAATCATTAGGTATATTCTCCACCTTGATCAGATCTCACGGTTCTGATCTTATAGCTACTTTACTTCTCAACAATTGCTTTAAAATCTTTAAAACAATTAAATACCTCTGACTTCCTCTTCAGAAAGTATACCCATGTCTTTCTACTAAAATCATCAATGAAAGTGAGGAAGTACCTATTTTGTCCAGTTGACATAGGCTTTATGGGACCACACATATCTGCGTATACTAACTCTAGTAGCTTCTTTGCTTTCTAGTTGACTTCTTTAGCAAAACTAGATCTGTGATATTTATTGAGGACACAACTCTCACAGACTTCATCTGGATGATTAATATGGGGCATACCTTTGACCATCTTCTTACTTGCTAGCATCTTCAGACTTATGAAATTCAGATGTCCAAGCCTCAGGTGCCAAAGCCATTCTTCACTGTTGGTGATGGCACTTAAACTCTTTGCTGCATTATATTGGATGTTTAAATAAAACATCCTATTCTTGGGCATTTTCACATAGGCAATTAATCTCCCATTGTAGTATGTAATTGTCAAATGACAATTCTTCATGTAAAGTGTATAGCCTCTCTCCAGAAGTTGACTTATGCTCACCAAGTTCTGCTTTATGGCTAGGACATAGTAGACATCGGTAATGTAGCTATGATCACCATTATTCAATTTGATTGGGATGTTGCCTTTACCTTTGAATGGAACTTTTGAGGTATCTCCAAAGGTGACAAAACCTTGTATGGTCTCATCTAAATAACCAAATAAATATCATTGGCCACATATGTAATTGCTGGCTCCAGAATCTGTTGATTCTTGCCAAGTCCTTGTTGGGCAAATAATGTAGCTGCTCCTCTGCTGTTGGCATCCTCCTCTGTATAGTTAGCATGCTCATGTACCTCTAATGGAGCTTTCCTTGACATTCAATGTTATAATGCCCAAATTGATTGCAATTATAACACTGAATATTCCTCTTGTCATGGTTATTGTAACCGCCTTCTCTTCCTCTAGGAGTGAATGCTTGTTGTCCCCGACCTCCTTTAGTGGTGTTTCTACCACCTTTTCCTCTAAAACCTATATTCCAAGAACTTCTGCCTTGAAATAGTTGAAATCCTCCTCGTGTTTGTTGACTTCTTCCTCGAGTGGTATTTCCACTTGTTGAAGTCTCCCCTTGCTTAAATCTGTCTTTGAGAGACAACTTCACTTGTAAGGTATGCTCAATTGCCTTACTCCATTTCTTTTTACAATCTTCTACTCATGAGCTTGCAAAGAACTCATAAGTTCATCCACTGTTAACTTGTCCACCTCTTTGGACTCTTCAATAGCGACAACAACAAAATCAAATTTTGGATCTAGGGATCTCAAAATTTTCTCAGTAATTCAAGCATCTGAAAGGGCTTCTCCATTTTTTCTCATCTGATTGACTATCACCATAATTCTTGTGTGATAATCAGAAATGGATTCTAAGGACTTCATTTGTAACAATTCAAATTCACCTCGCAAAGATTGGAGACAAATCTTCTTTATTCTGTCAGCACCTTTGTATTTTTATTGGAGAGCCTCCCATATTTCTTTTGATGTTTCTACGGAAGCAATGATTTCAAATGTCACTTCATGAAGACCTTGATAAATAATGGTCTTTGCTTTGTTGTTTTTCTTTCTATTGGCTTTGAGGACTTGCTTCTCTGCCTCTGGTAGAGCATCTTCTGATTCTTTGAACTCTGGTTTATCATAACCATATTGCATAATATCTGTACACTCTTGTGAACCAAGGAATGCCTTTAATCTGATGCACCACCTATCATAGTTGTCTTTGGTCAGCTTCAGGATGAGTGTTTGTGTATTTTTTGTAGTCATTTTGCTCTTTAAATGACTATATCACCTTTTGGGAGTTGAATTTGGCAAAACCGACACCGTAGATGGATCCGGAATGGTCCAAATAGCAAGGAACCGGTCTGATTTTATAGAAAATGGGTCAAAAATGGGGTGAACCAGTCAAAAAACTAATTTTAGGTGTCGGGTGGTTCGCTGCGGCTAAACCGGGAATATTCCAGGGAATATTCTTTGGCGTGGCTCAACTTTGAAATATGACTTGGAGCTCGGCTCGACTCGTGGCTCGGCTTGAAGTCGGCTCGGCTTAGGTGGCTTAGCGCAGCTCAAATATGGCGCGCGTGTGGCTCAGTCGTCTTCTTCCTCGAGGCGCGTGGGCTACAGTACCAAAATTTCAGACGGAGAGTGTGGGCCACCCCGTGCTCTGATTAATATGAGTTTTGCACCGTTGAGTTCGTATGGATGAGCTCTACATTTTGGAATGATCAAAACTTTTTTTTGACAACTTTGAAAATTCAGGTATATACAAAAATACCTCTGTTTTTCTGACGAACGGGGTTTTGATACCAATTGTTGGTGGGAGAAACCACTAGTGGTGGTTTTGAAAACTCAGGGGGGATAAAACACACTGTTTTATTTCAAGAACAATAAGCTTACAACATAAACGAAAGCTTACAATACACACCCTCTCTTTTTCTCTCTCTCTCTCTGTTTCTCTCAATCTCTCCACATATAATTGCATAAGCTTAACTATCTATTTATACACAAATTCAAAATAAAAAAATTCAAACTTCAAGTGTGAAGGCAGCTGTGGCCGACGGTATAAAAATAGTCGGAAGCTGGTAGCTAGCGGCTGGACGGTTGGGCAATGACAGCTGGTGGTTGCTTTCCTTGACCTTCTAGATTGAGTTTACTTCAACAGAAAACAAACGAATTTGGAAATACGGCCCTTCACGAGGCAACCATCTATGGCAATTACAAGGCTGTAAGACTCTTGGTAGAACATTGTCCGGAGCTGCTTTCGATTCCAAATGAGTTCGGAAACCCCATGTTTACAGCTGCCGGATTTTCTGAGACAGAAATGGTAGAGTTTTTAATCGGACACAAACCAGAACAATGCGTGGATGCTAATGGCCGCCTATTACCACCTCACAGCAAGCGATCGAAAGATGACCTGTTCATCCTTAGCGCTGCTATCATAGGGCAAAAATTTGGTAACCATTCCTCGCTTTATTGAGTTCTCAAATTTAAAAAGTATACATATATAAGATACTGTATAATTTTTGTCTTCCTAATTTCATGAATGCAGAAACAGCTTTATTGTTGCTAGAACTGGGTAAATCGCTCGCCAGCTTGAAGGACAAAAATCAAATATCTACTCTTCAACTTCTAGCAGAAATGCCAGCTGCTTTTGAGAGTGAATTTCCCGTGGGCATATTTGAAAGACTCATCTACTGTTGTATGCCTACTCCAACCACATTATTAGACCTTACAATATTGCCTACATATTCTTGTTTGAATACCATGGACATACACATACATATATATGTATATAATTTGAACTCTAAATTATGTTGCAGGCCTTCCTGTTAAACGTCACCACGAGGTAAAATCACAGGTACAAACTTGGTGCCTGGAAAATAAGAAAGATCTTGAGAGCGGTCGGGGGAGGAACTCAGGAGATCCGGGGAGTGTCTCGAAGAGGAATCAAAGAGGCGGCATACTCAAATATTTAAAGGTCCCTGAAGGTATTATTGAGCTACCTTTATATATGAGATTAGATCAAGTTCTCCAATGCAATGAAACACATTTCATTCATGTCAGCATTAAGGAATCATAAGAATTTAAATTCCATGGCTTGACCCGATATTTGAATCCTGTAGCCAATATTAGTTCTTATGTAATTGAGTCGCAGTTTCTTTTTTTAGTGGACATGGGCTACACAAGCAGAGTAGTTCTTGCCAATTTTTGACACCAATTGAGCTTACATCTCATTGTCACTTAAAAAGGAGTATTAGTGAATTAATATAAATTTACTTTTTAAGATAATAATTTAAACATTTACTTTGAGATAATTTATTTACAAACACAAACCTTATGCTTGAAACAAATTTTACAAAGAGGTTTTTGTTCACATCCTATTTTTAGATGCTTACGCAAATAATCCTTGTGCTTCCACTAAATTTAGTTTTCACCTTTTACTATCATTATTGATATTTCTTTCCATTTCATAATAATATCTAGCTCTCACCCATGATGTTGGCTAGAAAGAATCTGGAACCGGAAAAGAAAGCATGTATTTGCTTTGGAATTCGCCGAAAGCCTAATAAAGGAAGATAATTCTTTTAAACGAGTCACCACAGCAGAGGAAGACCAAAATGAAAAAGAAGAAGAGCAAGAAATGTGTGCGCAAACTTCTCAAAACACTAGGAAAGCAATCATTACGGATTGCCAACTATACAACTACCTATGATTAATAAAATAAAAGGTTAAATATTTTGCAAGTTATTATTGACTGGTACATGTTTCGATTTCCATTAATACCATGCTGTGTAAGTGCTTTAGTTTTTGAGTTTTACCTTTAGAAGATATGTTGTATACGTTCCTTATTCCTAATTTTTTTAAAAGGGCAAAGAATCCATCAAAGGCGGAATGAAATTCAAACCGTACACGTATTATCAAGACAATAACCTTTTTACTTCTGCTCAACAGTTACTACTAATGGTGTTGAATTTTTCTGCGTTTGAGCATGCATATATCTCCGTGGTACCACAGCTCTGTGCTATAAAGCCTGAGACGTGCTGGCCCTATTCTGAAGAACAAAAGGGTTGCATATAGTATAGAATTTAGTTAAATCAAGATGTAAAGCTAAGCGTGGAACGCGCCATTGCAGTAATGAAATTAAAGAAAAAATTTGTACTATGGCTAAAGATTATTCCTAATTAGCTGTAAAGCATGACGTGCAAAACTTGCTGCTTTTGGATGGGATATCACTAATGAGAAAAAGAAAAGAAAAGTATTCGATTAAGGGATAAAGCAGGTTTCTGTCATCAAAGTGATGTTTCACAAAGACAATTACTCTTTGAAAAGTATGACCCAGCATTTACATTTATTGTAATAAAAAGCTAGGTACTTTGTGTCTTGGCCAATATGGACAAGATTAGGTGTAGAAAAAGCGGGATTTTGACATAAAATGGGCACAGCTATTCATTATTGAGAGCTAGAACAACAATATTACTATCTTCAAAATCAAAAGAATCAAAGGATAATAACGCCAAAAAAAGAGAGAAGCCACCTCCCTATTCAGGATGTTTCAGCCACTGATGGGTTCCTGCCATGCTGATGTTCTTGATACCAAACAGAAAATCAATGGACGTCTGTATAAGGCTCTAGTGACATGCAACAGGAAGGATGTTGTAGATCTCTGCCAACGAATTTCAGATCATGCATTGCACGTAATAACAGTGAATGATGATACTGTTCTCCACATGGCTACGTATGCTAAAGAAGCAGCCTTGGTGGAAAGATTACTAGATGAGTTGCCTGATCATCATGTCGACAAGTTGACCCGACAAAATCGAGTGGGAAACACAATTCTCCATGAGACTGCCACTAGCAACCATGCAATTGCTGTTGCAGATAAACTGCTAAAGAAAGCCCCCGGACTGTTTAGGTATGCGCAACCACAATGGAGAGACGGCTCTGTTTCGTGCAGCTCGGTACGGAAAAACTGATATGTTCAACTTTCTAGCTGCTAAAGTCTCTGGATATGACGAAGAAGGTCTGCAATTTTATGTTCAGAGAAGTGATAAAACCACTATCCTTCACATTGCAATTCTTTCTGAGCACTTCGGTAAGCATTATAAACCACAAGTTCATTTCTTGGGCACTTCTGTATGTTATGTTTGGTGGAATTAAGTAAAATCTCAATTCTGAGTCATGCTGAAGTTTTTATTTTGCTGCACTAAAACAAAAACTTTTCTCTCTGGTACAATTTTAATGAAAAAAACAGATTTGGCATGCCAAATTGCATTGGCCTACAGACATTTAATCAGCGAAAAAGACGGTGATGGGATGACGAGTCTTCAACTTCTTTCATGCAACCCGTCAGCTTTTAAACAAGAGCCTGAAGACGGATTCATTAAGTTAGGTGTGTATACAAGATCACTTCCATTTTTCTAATCACATTCAGAACAGCTAATACTATAGTGCACTTCTTTCTTGTCAAGATTATGACACTTGAAGTCTTGAACAATCCTTCCTTTATCTTCATATAGAAATAATGTGTTGCAAATTTCCTTCTTTTTCTCTGAATTTTTCGTACTTGAAATAATAAGATTCTTGTACATAGGTTAATCTTCTTACAGTCATGTATTTTCCATCTTTCTGCAAAACAATTCATCCTTATAGATAATTTTTATTTATGTTGTGTTCCAGAGCCTAAAGTTAGTTATGTATGTTGCTGACTTGCTTTATTCCTTGGATAGCTAAATCCTGTTGCAGTACAGCTTGGCAGGAGAAGGTTCAAAATCGAAAGGATAAATATAAATCAGCTGTAGAGCTTGCCAAGCTTTTATCTAGAAATGATACCTCATGGGAAGTTACTTATTCTAGCATTGACCAGAGCAAGCCCAAAATACACAGATATGGAGAGATAGGTGGGCAAGAAGGGATGTCTTTGGCTGCTAGAATTCCTGAGAGAATGGATGATGTTGGTGAAACTCCTTTGATTTTGGCTACCAAGTCAGGCATTGTGGAGATAGTGGAAGAAATACTCAGGCTTTACCCTCAAGCAGTTGAACATGTTGACGACGAAGGTCGCAATGTGTTGCATGTGGCAATCAAATACAGACAGTTAAAGATTTTCGAGCTTGTGACGAAAATGGAAGTGCCCATGAAGAGACTGGTAAGAAAGATTGATAACGAGGGGAATTCTATTCTGCACACTGTTGGTATAAAGAGAAAGGATTTTGTATCTGAGAAGATGGAAGGCCCTGCATTCCTATTACAAGAAGATTTGCTATGGTTTGAGGTGCATTTTTAGACTTTTAGCATCAACATATGATTCACATGCAGGCATATTTTTTAGAATGCTGCACTAATCTTGAATCTTTAAGCAATTGGAACAAAACTTGAGGAATTTGCATTGCATTTCCACATACAGTAGAAAAGAAGAAAGAACTAAAAATATTAATGGTCTAATGCTTATTTTCTTTGGAAAAATTCAGTGATTGACATGTCTGTTTTTTATTGCGTGCGAGAATACAGCGAGTCGAAAAAGTCACTCCACCTCACTTCGTAAGCCACCATAACAGTCAGAACCTCTCTGCAGAGTGTTTGTTTATTACTGCAAACTCTGAACTTCGCAGCTCAGCGAAAGAATGGATGAAGAGCACTGCCGAAGGATCTTCGGTTGTGGCTGTTCTGATTGCTACAGTCGCCTTTGCAGCAGCCTACACAGTTCCAGGAGGTCCAAATCAGAGCACCGGTGTTCCTGTCCTCGTTAATAAACCGTTCTTTGTGGTTTTCACTGTCTCGGACGTCCTATCTCTTACCTTTGCTTTGACATCAGTTGTGACATTTCTCTCCATCCTCTCATCGCCATTTCGATTTAAAGATTTCAAGCATACCCTTCCCAATAAGTTGATTTCAGGCTTCACATTTCTGTTCCTTTCCGTGGCTATGATGATGGTAGCATTTGGATCAACAATCTTTCTGGCGATATACAATAAGGAAAATTGGGCTAAAGTTATTCTATACACAGTCTCTTTTATCCCAGTTTGCATCTTCGCGCTATCTTATTTTCCTCTATATTCCTCACTATCAAAAACTCACAAATATTTGCTCGAAAACTTTCCTCTAACTAAACTTGTTCTATCCAAACCTTGTATGATGATGTCCAAATGTTTAAAATGTTGTCAAGTCCAAACCTCAGAGCCCCACATTCCATGAAATACCATACATGGAAGATAATATGTATTATTGTTAACATTGTGCAGCAAGTTATTGAGTTGTTGATAATTGTAAGGATTTCAATAATCATATTAAACCAATTTATGGTGAGTGAAGACTATCCTTGTTGGTGATCCAGGTAAACGTAGATGAAAGCAACACAAGCAGGACGCTTGCAAAGAATAAAGCTTAGATTTATTACTAATATATTGTAATTGGATTTGTTTCCAATCTTTTTCATTTTTAGTTTTCTTCAAATTCATTGTGTTTCTCTCCGTTATTATCTGAATGGTTGTTTCATTAACAAATCAATCGATTATTATTAAAAAAAAAAATCAACAACGATAATTAAATAACCAACAGAGAGTGATATTGTTGATCAATGCCGCTCCTTTAAGTTGAATTGATCCTGGCCTGGTGCTGCATCTGGTTCTTCTTTCTATGTTTGCAAACAAAAACAGGATGACTAATGCATAAAATTTTGATTTCCAGTGAGCAACTTATGCCTGATCATCATGTTTAGTCAGCTATACCTGTTCCCCATCTGCTGCACCATTTGGCTCTCTTGCTAATGAATTTGGGTCATGACTACATGTGTTTAATTAGCATATGCTTAATGTTGGTTCTTAGGTTAGATCTGATACAAATATTTAAAGTAGTTACTAAAAGAAGTAATCACTTCTTTTATATATATATATTAGAAGATAATGGTTATCTCTTTCTCGTTTTTTCATCATTAACTCTCTAGATTAACTTAACAAAATTTACAGAAACATTCATACTATAAAATATCTATTTGATTCTGGTAATCAAAATAGCAAATAAGTAATTAATCTAGTGATAAGAAAACCAATTAGCAAATCATAAGTAATTCTTTAAATCTACACTCAATTCAGTCCAATTGCAGGATGTGCGCCTTGGGGATAGCATTTCACTGAGGGAAGAAAGTTTGAATTCGTCCCTTGGATTAGATGTTAATATACTACTACTATAGGCAAAGCTAAGATTATTCCCAATTAACTATGAGTTGTAAGCCTGGCATGCATAACATGGGAATGTTTATGACACTGCACTAATGAAACAGAATTAGTGACAAAGTAGGAATTTAATTCCATGAATCAACACAAAGGTTATTCCACATTCCACTAAACATGGAGAAGCACCAGCTAAAGGCATATATAAAGCAATGTTCATTTTCAATAAAGTGCCAATTAGCATATGAAGCAAAACTATATAGCTAGTTAGTGATCATAACTGTGCAATAATAAATCAAGGAAAAGTTCAAGATTCTAACTCTACCACAAGTAAAGATGATTGATAATCCAAATGCAGTCATGAAGTCAAAAGCTCTGGATACAGCTTTAGAATAGGAGAGATAGCTAGAATATTATACTTTGTAAGTGTACTCGTCAAGACTAACAGGATCCTGTTGCATGATAGTAGAATTCTGATATAAACGAGAAGGTTATTATTGAGGATTGGCATAGCGATTTTTTTTTTTCAAGGAAAAAATTACCCCCTCCCTTCTACATGGAACCCTTGATGTCTCCTGGTACCAATGAAATCGATCGTAAACAGAAAATAAACGGAAACTTGTACTATGCTCTCATGAAAGGAAACAAGAAGAGAGTTGCAGAACTCCGCCAAAAAATTCAAGATCATGCATTGCACGTAATAACAGTAAACGACGATACAGTACTTCACATGGCTACATATGCCAAAGAAGCATCTCTAGTAGAAAATTTACTAGATGAGTTGCCTAGCCATCATCTCGACAAGTTGACTCGCCAAAATGGTGTAGGAAAGACAATCCTCCATGAGACTGCCACAAGCAACCATACTGTTGCTATTGCAGATAAACTTCTGAAGAGAGCCCCCGGATTGTTAGGCATGCGCAACCACAATGGGGAGACGGCTCTCTTTCGTGCGGTCCGGTATGGAAAAACCGAAATGTTCAACTTTCTAGCTGCTAAAGTCTCTGGATATGATGAATCTGGTTTGCAATTCTATGTACGGAGAAGTGATAAAACCACTATCCTTCACATAGCCATTCTTTCTCTGCATTTTGGTAAGCATTGTCAATTATAAAGTCATTTCTTCCCTCCATCTGCAAGTCAATTTTGTTTCAACATGTGAAGTTGATATTCTGATGCTGAAATGTTTTCTTTCATACAAATTAGGTTGGGCCACAGATTTGGCATACCGAATTGCGTTGGACTATTCGCATTTAATTGGCCAAAAAGATGCCGATGGTATGACTGGTCTTCAGCTTTTATCATGCAACCCATCAGCTTTTAAACTAGAGCCTCAAGAAGGATTCATTAATTTAGGTATGGAAGTATGATCCTTACCCTTCCAGTTTTCACTGAATCAGTGAAAAGTGATTATGGCACTTCTCATATAAAAAAAAATGTAACATTCTTAGATTTTTTTTCATTGTAGTTTCCCTTCTTTTTCTGTCATTCCTTTTAACATCCATGATGTAACTTCCCTTGTTTCTGCATAATAAACTCATTCTTACATTACATCACAGAATTTATATGCAACTAACCATTTGCGACTAACTTATTTTCTTGAAAGCAAAATCATATGGAAGTTCAGTATGGAGAGAAAAGGTTCAAAAGCAAAAACAACTGCATAGATCAGCTGTGGAGCTTGCGAAGTTTTTAGTCAGAAAGATACCTCCTGGGAGCTTACGTATTCTAGCATCGACCAGAGCAAGCCTAAAATCCACAAGTACGGAGAAAAGGGAGGCAAAGAACGGCAAGAAGTACATTTGTCTAATAAAATTCTTGACAAAGAAGAGAGTCTTGGAGAAACTCCTCTGATTTTGGCTACAAAGTCAGGCTGTGTGGAGATTGTTGAAGAAATACTCAAGCTATATCCCCAGGCAGTCGAACACATTGATGATGAAGGGCGCAATGTATTGCATGTAGCAATCAAATACCGCCAAAGGAAGATTTTCGAGCTTGTGAAAGGAATGGACGTGCCTATGAGGAGGCTGGCAAGGAAGATTGATAGTGATGGGAATTCCATTCTACACACCGTCGGAAGGAAAAGAAAGGACTTCGTATCTGATGAGAAGATGGAAGGCCCTGCATTCCTCTTACAGGCAGAATTACTCTGGTTTGAGGTGCACTTTTTAGACTTTTACCTTCCTGCTATTATGCATATCTATCATACACAATTCACAGGCAAGCACAATATTTTTTTATTTTCATACTAATCTTGAATCCTGAAGCGGTTGGAGTAGACGTATTACAGCTATATGGTAGGGTGAGTTTACATAATAATTCATCTTAAAAAGTAATTTATGTATGATTTATAAGAAGAAATAAATAAATAAAATTAATGGTCTAATTCTATAATTATTTTCTTTTAAGAAAACTTGATAGTTGATGGACATGTTCTCTTTGTTATCCATGTGAGAACGCAGCGCGTCAAAGAAGTCACTCCATCCCATTTCCTGAATCACCAGAACAATATGAAGCTCACTGCAGAAGGGTATTTCATTACTGCAAATTCTGAACTCCGCAATTTAGCCAAAGAATGGCTAAAGACAACAGCAGAAGGATGTTCTGTGGTAGCAGTTCTCATTGCCACCGTTGCCTTTGCTGCAGCCTACACAGTTCCAGGAGGTCCGAATCAGAGCACTGGTGTTCCTGTCCTCGTCAACAAACCATTCTTTGTGGTTTTCACTGTGACTGATGTACTCTCCCTTACGTTCGCTTTGACATCAGTTGTTACTTTCCTCTCTATCCTAACATCCCCGTTTCGATTTAAAGATTTCAAGCATACACTTCCTAATAAGTTGCTGGTAGGCTTCACATTTCTGTTTCTCTCTGTGGCAATGATGATGGTAGCGTTTGGAGCAACAATCATTCTGATGATTTACAGCAAGGAAAGCTGGACAAAAATTACTCTATATGCAGTCTCCTTTATCCCAGTTGGCATCTTTGCACTATCTTATTTCCCTTTTTATCCATCACTATTAAAGACTTACAACTTGCTCCAGAAAATTCCCTTCATTAAACATATTCCAGCTATACCTTGGAACTCTTTCAAATGTTGTCGAGTCGAAACCACTGATACCCACTTTCCATAACATATCCGACATGTAATTATCCTACACTAAATCCTTTCCATTTTCTGAAATCTGATGACTGCCTGTGTACGTAAAGGTTGGCACAAGTATTGGTCCTATCTGTAAGCAACTACCACCATGGATGATTATAAGTATGATGTCTATGAGAATGATATGATGAGTTATTGGTTTGTACATTGTAAGGATTCCAAATAATATAATGTTCTGATATGTGCAATAAGTAACAAAGAAAGCCAGCAATTCTTGTAACATAGGTGTTAATTTAACCAGAGTTCTTGACACTGGTCCCCTCTTCTCTTATTCAGGAGGGACAGAACATTTTGCTTGAAACTTTGTCAGTTCAATTTGCAAAATGATGAACCCTAAACACCTAAATTTGGTTCATTGAAACTTCAAGAGTCATTTCCAAGTGAATAGTTTGTTTACAAGTTCTATTCACATATATAGCACTACAAAGTAATGATAGTTCAGGCATGAACTCCATGAGCGGGATCTGTAAAACCATCTAGTACTGAATAATTCAACCTCCAATGTAATGTTGAGATCTTTTAAAGTGAATCAAGAAGAATTATTTTTTAACTATTCTGATTGAGATTTGGATAGTACTGTTAGTTGTAGCATTACAATAAATTTATGAACAAACGACTATTCTCTTACTTTGTAAGATTGAACCTCCAGTGTTGGCATTTTAGATTTGAATTAAATTTTTTTAGTGTTTATTTTTACTATCTCTTGATATGCTTTGTGAAAAATAAATATTAAAAAAACTAAAAGTCATCATTGCACCTAAATAAATTAAATCATATACCATTAAGATGATGAATTGACTCCAACCCTATAAACATCCACCACTAACCGACTTCAAATGAATAGGTTTTAAGATATAGATGTTGTTTTAAATTAAGTTCAAAATCCTTATCTTTAAGTTTATATATATAACTAGATATTTGATCCGTAATTTGTCAGGGATCAAATTTTAAAAAAATAAAAAAATTATATACACAAATTTTTTTAACATATTTTTGTAGTTATAAGAAATTAAGTGAAAATTAAGAAATTTATACATACATATAATTAAATATATTAAGGACTATGTATGTGAATAATTGAAAAAAATAGTAATTAAAAATAAAAAAAATTAAGAGATAAATATTGATCAAAATATTTAATTTTACAAGCCTGGATATTCAACCAGTTGTATCTTCTATATTTATTTATTAAAATAATTTTTTTATTCATGTAAACAATAATATAAATAGAAACATAAATTAAATTAATTGAATAAAATAAAATAGAAAAAAAGCATTATGCAAGGTTCCATATATTAGAAATATTATCTCAAAATAATTTTTTTTTCTTTGAAAATCAATTTCATCTATACAATAGGTTAAACAAAATTATAGATGAATCAGAAATACTCTTCAAAATTTAAATGCATAAATTTTTTTGATTATTTTGATGGTTTTAATCTATATCAATGATGTTTTTTTCTTTTTACCATCGAAATCCAAAGATTTTTCTCACTTTTCTCTAAACCAAGGACTAAGAAATAATAAAAATAAATTTTTATTTCAAAATTAAATTTTAAAAAAACTAAGACACTAAAATCATATAATTTATATTATTTTTAAAGTTGAATAACCAAAATATGTCTTCCTTGAAACTTTTGGCACACTAATCACGTTTGGTGTGTTTTTAATAGTGGTTTTTATTATTTCAATTTTATCATTTTCTAAGAAATCTAAATCAATTGATTTTCAATTAGCATCAAATTATCCAAAATAAATTCTTAAGGATCAAAATGAATTTTTTAAACAATAAACAAGGTTATCCAAAGTATATCGTGAGGGGTGAATAGTTTCAGCTGTACAATATTCATTCCAGTCCAAGGTTATCCATACATTTTATTTTATTTTTTAGGTTAATTTAAATGTTGATAAACCTAGTTATTGTTTTTTTATATATATACTTAAACCAAACCTAAAAATCCAGTCCAAAACCAAATAGCCTAAGTTATCAAATTTAGCCGAACCTATTACCCATTAACATTGAAGATTTAAACTAGGCCCAGCATGCATTGAAGTACAGACAAAACGGCCCACGATTATTTATTCAAAAAGAAACGAATCAGCGTGTGGGGGACTTGGCAGTTTAAAGAGAGGAAAGACTTCGTTAGGCTTCCTACTGGAAGGGAGCACAGGTGCTGGTTAGGGCGGGAGCAAAGACAAACACTTTCCAAGCCATTCAGGGGAAGAAGAGAAAAAACTACACCTCTCAGTTCTGTATGTTCTTTTCATTTATCTAATGATCATGAAAGATTAGCTTCCTGGGATTCCATTCCCTAAATGAATATGCATACTCAAGGATGAACAACCTGCAACTCTATCCAAACTTCACAAGCAAAAATAGAATAAAGTCTTGATCTCACAAATATATGTTCTTGATCTCTACTCGTACATGTTTATACACGAAGAAGGCATGGAATGACGAATACGTAATGATATTATTCATGTGAAAACTGAATAATCATTAGAGACCATACCTGTTTTGCTGCAGACCACGGTGGTGGTGTAGCATGCAATTTTTGTTTATAGCATTTATATGGATTTATGTATAGTGTTCTTTTTTGTTTTACAGATTAATAAATTTTAAGGAAGAATTTCTATAAAGCTTGTTGTGTATTTTAATTAGCTTATTTTACTTGTGTAATCCGCTTGCTTTTTAACTTGGAAAAGTGAAGAAAACTCACCAAAAATCTGCACCAAAAGGGCCACTCTTTGTCTAGAAGAATTAACGATCTGCCTCTAGAGGGATGAAGAGTCGTCTTTCCCGTTGCCCCCACAGAATCAACTTTTCTACTGCGGTTTCTTTCCCTCTCTGTTTGTCCCTCTGGTGATCCTCCTTTTTTTCTTTTTTTGTGTTCCTTTTATAGGCGGGTGTTAATCCTTTTAAGAAGGGGCAAAAACAATCACTGCCTTTGTTAGTATCAAATCCTTGAAGATAGCCCTGGAAAGCAGCTTAGGTATTGGGCATTGATTCCTCTTTGTTTGATTCATGGAGAGAGTACCAAATTTTGGAAAATGGATCTTGCATAAGAATGGAAAGGCTGGGTTATAGTTCTTGATGAAAAGCTGACTGAGAGGGTATGTTTGACTCAAAATCTGTAGTAGATCCTCAGAATTAAAACCTGATATCTTGAGCTGAGATTGTAGAGGACACGTTTCTTTTGTTTTTGTGCCACCAAGAGATTCAATTAGGACCAAGATCAAGCTCTAATGTTGCATGAGATTCAGTTGTTCCAATGTCTTTTAATGCCCTGAATTTCTGCAGAAATTAGAACACAACGGCGTCGTTTCCTTCAAATATTCATCAGATGCTCTTCCCTCTATCTATCAAAACGCATTGTTTCACTTTCACTTTCGCTTAATGTGAAACAGCGTCGTTTTCCGCCTCAATTATAATTAGGTTTTTCTAATTAAAATCAAATTAAACTTCTTATTTGTCCCTGCGTTTTACCGTCATTTGTACTTCAGTCCTTGGCCTTTGGATTTTCCTAATTCAGGTCAATTTCACCTCAATTTCACCCTTGATCAAATTACAATATGTCCTATGAATTTCACCCTTGATCAAATTACAATATGTCCCTCTTTCATTTCAGTTTTGGTTCTTCAATACTTCATTTTTAAGTCAAATTAACTCCCAATTTCAATTTTCTTCTTCAATTAGACCCATAATTGATCTTCTAAATTTGTAATCATTTCAAACTCATCCTTGAATTTCATTTTCTTTTAATCTTAGCCAAATTAAATCAAATTAAGCCCTTTTATCAATTTCTTCTTCAATTAAGCCCTCAATTATAGCCCAAAAATTCTCAAACTTAATTTTAGCTATAATACTCAATTATTGTTCCAATTTCAATCTCAGTTATGTATTTTTATTATTTTTTAATATACAAAAATTAAATAAAAACAGAAAAAGTAATGACATGATTAAAATTAATTAAATTTACTGAAAAGATATGTGTTTTGAATTTTTTTATTTAATTAAAATATAAAAAAATAAAAGGTCAAAATTAGATTATAACAAAAATAATTAAACTCTACTCTCTCATGTAGAAACATTAAAAAACAATTCAAGAAGAACTCATGCAATCCCTGTACAAAACACCCCCCCCAGCACATACTTTTATGTATTTTTTTAGGTTTTCAAGAATTATACACAAATTTTTCATGCATATAATTATATTTTTCTCTGTGCATGTACAACTGTTTCTATCTAGAGAAGATAACGTTTTCCTACGCCAATTGAACACTGCACCGGCTGGCATGTCTTGCCAATGTCTTTACCTCAATGACAAGACTTGCTCACACACCATGACTAGCCAATGAGTTTTATTATATATATGAAAAGCACTCGATAATATTGATAAACACTATGTTTGCTCTTAATAAATTACCAGCTCCACAACCACTAATGAACAACAATTTTAATTTCCACTGATAATACGTCTCATTTTCCTTAAAAAAAAAATCAAGAACTGAGTGTATAAATACACTCAGCCACCAAGCAACATGGAGGGGCTACCAAAAAAGAGTCATACAAAGCCACACTCGGTCATTGAAAGCCAACCAGACCACATACAATCTAGCTCATCATAAAAAGCCAGAGCTAGACACTATCATACAAAGCTAGGCCATACAAATTCCACGTCATATGATACACACACAGATACACTCTCTATAACTTCATTTTATTTTTCTCTTTATGTTCATTACTTTCTTCTCTTATATTTACTGAATTAATCATCGGAATATCCCCTGTCCTACCAGGATACTGATGTTTCAAGAACAACCCGAGCTAGAGAAGTTTTTTCTAGGACTTCATCGATAAGATAACAAAGAATATAAAATATTCTGGTTTATTAGAAATATAGAAGAGAACTGGGATACTATTCCCGGCCTGCCGTGTTCAAGTATGTAGTTCCTTGACTGAATTTATAACGCTTTTGATCTTCATGTTTCACAGCAGGGGAACTACCCTTTAGCCTAGCGTAGCTGGTTGGTGATCACTTCCATTGCACTCTATGTATACTCCAAGCAGAAGTAAATGATGTCCCCATGGCTAGTCGGAAATAGATTTCAAGG